AGTACGCGTTAGTACAGAAGTTTACTAAATATGATTGCATGCATAAACATAACAAAAGAGTTAGAGAACATAAATCATGAAGCATAATCAATGAACATAATAGATCATCTCAACATGTAAGGAGTACTTCTTCAAGTAACCTTAATTTTTTCTTAGTCAAGACATAGGTAACCGCATCTAGTCTTACTCATTGTGGAAGGCAAGCTCAACCGATAATTGAAGCCCATCATCTATCATAACATGTCATTTAAGGACATGGGAAATTGCTATTTCCTTCTAATAAAGGATCATGGGTAATCGCCTCTTGTCCTTTTCTTTGGGATCATGGGTAATCACATCTCGTCCACTTGCTTAGGATAACAGGTAATCACCTCTAGTCCAACTTACATTATAGGAATGTTGGTAATTGCCTCTAGTCCTACTCTAAGCAATATGGGTAATCACCTCTAGCCTCTTAATTTTCATAGTTCCTTAACTTAGAATCGTTTTAGGTGAGAAATCCTTTCAATGTGAGAAAGCCTTTCACATTCATACACAAGAAATCATGTGGGAAAATCCCTTTCACATCAATCATAGAAACAATCAACAACTGATAACATATGCATCCCTCTCAAATCAATTCATATCGTATCTTATTTAACCGATAAGAATACACATAAATCCATAAATTCTCCTTTCATAGAGTAAAACCCATTTTAAATCAATTTCTTCTTAGAAACATGGGTTAAGCATGGGTACATGGAATCTCATCATAAAGTATAGAATCCTCTCAATTCATTAATAATCAATCATAATTCAATCAATTGAATCAACATTGACAAGAATCCATAACTTTGAAGAAAACCCTAACTCAAATTGTGGAATTTCTACTTTTCAATTTGGAGAACTTGGGGGCTCCATGGCTGCAAGGTTTCCATAGATGAAAAACTATAATACCTTGATATCAAAGGCCAAAATCAATTGAAGAATGAAGGCTTGAGCTTGAACCCTATGTTGAATCTTCTTGTTCAAACTCCTAGAGAGAGAAATATCCTTTGGAGAGACAGACTCAGTTTTTTTTTGGTTAATTTGAAGAGAATGAAGTGAGTGAAATATTTTTGGGCTAAAATCACTTATATAAGGGGTCATAGGCATAGGCAAAATAACATAGTATTGTTTTAAAGAAATCTGAAAAAGACCCTGAACTTATAGATGACGCACTATCACACGGCAGGCTCCCCGAGCCATCTAAGAGTCCACGAGCAGTCTAGGCTGCTGTGGTCCTTGGACCAATGGCCTGAAAAACATACCCAAAATCACACTTACATCACGACCGAATCCATGAGTTGTCATGGCCCTCACGAGCCGTCTAGTGGCTCGTGTGGAGGGTCAACCTTAAAATGGCTATTGTCTGCTCTTTCACGGGCATCACCACATGTCATGGTGCTCATAACGAGCTGTCTAGGTGCTCGTGGTAGGGGAGCCCTCTTTGGCTTGACACTGTAGGCCTTCAAGAGCTACACAAATGCCTCATGGTGCCCTCCACGGCTCGTCTAGGCCTTCGTGGAGGGTGCCCAAACTCAGTCTTTGGCTTGTGACCTCTCACTTGGTCCGTTGATTAGCCTACTAGCTTACGAGGTGTTACATCTCTCCATAAAACTCATTTCATACCCCTTTTCATTTCTTGTTTTCCTCTCTAGTGGCTACCCTCAACTTACACTTTTGGACTGAGTTGGGGTACACGATTTCAAATCAGGAACTAGGGACACAACAAAGGGTTCCTATGTAGTAGCCTTCCTCAACATAGGCTTTTTACTTATATTTAGGTGCACATTGTCCATAGAGGGCCCAGGGCCCAAATACAGGTTTAATTATTTTTACAGGCAATGTGAGTTGGGTAAATTTAAAGAATGGTGTCATTAAGGCTGAACATTTTGGATCGAAGGGAGCATTTTTCATTTGGGTGGTTATTTTTAAGCTTAATTGGACTCAATTTCAACAATATCTTATGATCCATTCCTAATTCACAGGTACATCATCTTAGCAAGACTAACTGGGCATTTTCTAGATTGGCACATACAATATGAATACACAAATATCCCACACGCACATGGCACATAATTTCACCATCAAATAATCAATGTATCTAGTTCATACTACATCTTAAGTCATGTAATCTAATTGATTCCTCTCATGTCATTCAACGATCGTACACATTCGACTTATCAATCACATATTTATAGCACATAACTAAAACATTTGGAATGGTGTCAATTTAAAGCTCTATTGACATCATGCTTTTATTTCTGGTCTACTTCTACAATTTACATCCCAAACATATTGGTTCAATAAGAACTAAATAGTTTCTTGGGGAGAAAGAACACATGCATGAAAACCTCAAGAAAGGATTGTGAGTTGGGTTAATTAGACTTCCCCCCAAAATTCACAATCAATTCACCCCACCCCACATGAAAATAGTGTATCGCCCTCAATGCACATATAATGTAAAACCATAGTATGAGACAAACATGTGGGGCCTAACAATCGAATAGCTAGAAAGAGGCTTGGGGGTTCTTTGGTGTGGACCAGAGTGAATCAAGAGTAACCTTTACATTGATCTATGTGGCGCCATCAGTAACGCCCTCCAAAATAACTGGATGAGCACCATGAATAGTCCCCCTCAACCCAGAAGCTCCAACAGGTAAATCTCTCAATCTTCTATATCGTTTCTCCTTATCAACTAAAAACTGGTGTTGTGCAACCACAAACTCCTACCACTATGGTTTCTTTGTTCTCCACTGCTATCTCTTGTCAATAGCATGATTTAAGGTTGGTGTGTGGTTTCCTGATGCACAAGGAGGGTCATGAGAAAGGGCCTCATCACCAAATAAGGCAAAAATGACATTGCCTCCATCATCAACAGAGGAAGGCTTTGGTTCAGACGAGCCAGGAATAGTTAATGCATCTATGTCAGCCCGGATAGTGGCTAACTCAGTCTTGAAGAATGAGAGGTCTATAATCAATGTAGTTTGAGGCCGATGAAGCATCCGCAGCTCAAAGGCATGAATCTGCGGATGAACTATTTAAATCTTATCCTCAACTACTCTCCCCGTCCATTCCTCTTAATCTTCCACTACCTTGCTCATACATGGCCTAGTATGATGTAGAAGTGTTTCCATCTATGTCTTAAACTTCTAGAGTGAGGATATCGGGAAGATTGAAAAACCTGTAGTAATTGAAGTACATGGTCTGCTTGCATCCGGTCTGCAATTAGAAGAAGGATGAGAACTCTCAATGGGATAAGTAGTGGGGTCTAGTATGATGCCATGCTTGGATTGCTCTAGTGAGACTGTTTCGCCCTTAGGTGGCATGTCAATTTTGATACCCCATTGTAGTGTTGCGGGGTGTGACTCATCCTGAATTATACCAACATCAATGGTCTTAGTCACCATAATCATTTAGTAAATCCCTTAAAATGGAACAATATCCTCTATGTACACGTGAAATATGAAACAAGGGAAGGGTAGCGTGGTAGTCTTCCAAAATGCCCTCTCATGTATCTAAGCAATCTTTATACGGGCGAAATCAATTTCATGCCCCTCTATAAAATAGGAAATCATGACATCCCGATCCCATATCAACTGGTTTTCTGCCATCATGGAGAAATATTTGGCGTGGACAATCTACCACAAAAACAATGCATTAAATTTTTGTTTCCCCATCTTAATGGAGTGTGTCAAGTCCCGTTATCGCTCAGACTCAACCCCATCCATAGCAATATACCAAGCTACCCATCAAATAAAGTCCTCACTCTCATCTATGTCTCTCATAGCCACTTTGTTCCAAACTAGCTCTATCTGGTAGTCAAACTCATTTGTACTAATTAGTTGTGGATGAGATGGGCCACAAATCAATTACCAGAAAGTGGCCTCAAAACAATCTATGGGAATATTCTGCACTAAAGTAGTCAAGAGCGGAGGTTGAGCTAACTCTGTGGTCTTCGGAGGTAAGGCATTCTTCACTGTAGCTGTGTAGGATGCATAGAACACCCGTACCACTAAAGGGATATATTTTCCTAGCACCTCCACCGTCCAATCACACATGTGCCTCTGAAAGAGCTCATGTATGGTAGGTATAGTGTGGAGGTTTCAATAAGAACCCAATGCTCCTCTCTGATAGGTCTAGAATGCTTTTGATATGCACTTTGCCGCATGGCATCTATAAATATCTTAAGCATGCCCTCAATACACCATCTATCTGGTTCACCAACAACCTCTATTGGCTCAGAAGGATGAGTGGGAGGTGGATTATTTTCTTCTTTGGACTCAGATGCATCATAAGTAGATGTTGCAACTGAATCCGAGTCGGAGCTTGACTCTGACAGTGCCCCATGTTGTCGCTTCTCACGACCTTCTCTCGAACTATGTGCTCACTCCTCAACCTAGGAAACATTAGTTGTATCGGTGGATTCTGATGCCTCCAGTGTGGAAATAGTTTCAAGTTGTTTTGCTTGTTGGTGAGTAGTTTGTGGTGTTTTTAGGAAATCATCATTTGTGCCCGGGTTGAACTCCAACCCGCTCAACTTTTCATCGGTAGGATCATCGACTAGCTGTTCTGCTGAATGAGTGCCTGGCTTAGACTTCAACCTTTGTTGGAAAGTGGTGGCCTTCTTAGGAGGCATTATACCTTCAGAGGTGTCATTAGTACCCAAACATACAAAATCAAAGCAAAGAAAGAAATTAAATCAAACTACAAAACCTAAGGAAAACAAATTTTTTATTGCAGAAAAGTGCACTTCTTTTGGCCTACGGTGGGTTCTTACGAATTGTTGATGCTTCTACGGGCCGTATGACCCAACCACAGGAAAGGATGTCAACTTTTTGGTTTCTAAAGTCAGAATGATAGTTCACTAGTACGTTACACCCCTCCAAAGAAGTATAATTCACGACGAATACCATTTTAAGATCACTTTGATGCTTCATTGATTTGTAGATATTAAGAGTTACTTCTTTATTGTTCAATCAAAATTTTATCTGCCCTCTTTCCATATCAACTAAATCACGCCCATTAGCAAGGAATGGTTTCCCCAAGATTATTGGCACTTCAAAGTCAACATTACTATCTAACATCACAAAATCAGCAAGAAATATCAATGCTTCAACTTGAACAAGAACATCTTGTAGTACCCCTATTTGTTTCTTCACAGTCGGATCACCCATTAGTAGGCGCATTGCAGTCAGTTTTGAGGCTTCCAAGCCCAATTTTTTTAATGTAGAAGGAGGCATCAGATTTATGATGGATCCCGAGTCACATAGGGCTTTGCCGAATTGTATCATGCCAATGGTACATGGGATAGCAAGTGCTCTGGAATCTTCCTTCTTTCTCACTAACAATCGATTAAAAATGGCACTCGAATAGTGCAACTTATCATAACTTTCAAAATAGACAGCACTATTTTTTGTCACAAGATCCTTCATTAATTTAGAATAGTCAAGCATCTCTTCTAGTGCCTCAATCCAAGTGACATTTATTGAGAGTTGCTTCAACATGGAGATAAATTTCCGATATTTCCCTTCCTTAGTTTTCTTGACCAACCTTTGAGGAAGCATTGGAATTACTTTTTGAGTCACTTCCACTTCTTTCTCATTCAGACCTTTTTGCTTGTCCACTACTTCAACTTCATCATCTTTGGGTATTTTCACTCTTTCAACCTCAATTGGCATATGAGGGTCGATAATCTGCTTCCCACCCCAAGTAGTAACTGCCATGAAACGCCCATAATTCTATGGATTTTTTATGGCATTGCTAGGAAGTGTTCCTTTTTGACGTGCATTCACATATGAAGGTATTTGACTGAGTTGTTGCTCAATTTGTTTAATAGATACTGTATGCAAATATACTATTTTCTCAATGCTTGACAAATTAATATGCATCTCTTTCACATTGTCATCAGTTGAGTCAAACCTTCTCATCATTTTAGACATCATGTCCTCAATGTGATTTAAACTTGATCCTCCATTGCGATTTCCTGGTGGGACATATGACCACTATTATTGTTTCTATTAATATACGCATTTTTGTTATAGTTATTAACCCGATTGTAGTTGGCTTCATGATTATATTGCCCTTCACGATTGTAATTACTATAGGTCCGACCTTGATTTCCTTGTACTTCATGCCAAATATCCTAATCGGATGCTTCGGTGTTAGTCTATAAACCCCCCGTTTACTCATTCACAAATTTTGCATCCTTTTCATATATAAAATCATCATCTGGTGGTGCTCTATTCTCATAGTTAACTACATTAACTTTCTCAACACTTTCACTCACATTCTTCAAGACTAAGCCAACCTCTCCTCTCAACTGTGCCATCTCTTCGCGAATATCATCAGATGACTAATTTGGTGTTGCTTGCATTGAAAACATACTCATCAATGCAACTGAAGTTCTTGTGATCCATGCCTTATAATTCTTGGAGATAATTTCATGTTTCTCTATAATATACTAAAATGTATTTTCCCTGTAAGATCCTATAGAAATAGTGTCTAAAACTGCTTTTCCATTGTAATCCAAAGCTTGGTAAAAGTTATCTTTAAGTAAATCATAATCAATACGGTGGTTTGGTACAATTCTCATGAACCCCATAAATTTGCCCAAAGAATAACTGTTTGACTCCCCATGAAGAGCCATGAAGTTGTTTAGTTTGTCTTTAAGCTTCAACTTCATTAATAGAGGGAAATATTTTTCGACGAACACTCTATGAAGCTCCACCCATGCAGTAATTGAGTTATATGGAAGCTCAGATAACCATACGGTAGAATCACCTGTCAATGATAATGGAAACACACGTAGTTCATCCATGTATAAAATTGGCCTACCCACACTACTCTTATACATGCTGATGACTTTACTCAGATTATTATATGGATCTTCGAATTGAATACCATGAACTAACCCTCTAGATGTAAGAATTTGCATCAGATTGCTAATAACCACAAAAATGTGTCCAGGTGGTAATGGAGGAACAACTATGGTCCCAGTTGATACCACATCATTATGATCAACCATATAGTTAATACACACATTGGGTGCTTCTTTATTTTGCACTATCGCCTGATTGTTCTTATTATTTTTCTAATTGAGTTTGGGTGCTTGGTCGCATCCCGAATTGTATATCTTTTTCTCCCTTTTTTGCCACATCATGTGTTTGCCATTCTTCGTAGTGTTTTTCTAAGTTCTTGATTGTAAGGTGTGAGGGGAATGCCTTGACTTTTTCTATTGGACATACACGTCGAACCACACCTATAAGAAACAAAAACAAAATAAACTGGTAAAATTGAGATATAATTTACTCGTCGTGCAGTAACGAAATTAGTCTAAGATAAAAAAATTATTCCTCGGTAGTGGTGCAAAATATGATACACCCAAATTACACCTCCCTAAAAAAGTGTGAGTGGTCGTTGTCATATAAAGAACCTAACAGAGTTTAGGATCGATCCCATGATAAATATGGTCTAGACTTAGGCCAATTTAATGTTGATTGTACTTTTAGTCAAAATATTTTCTTAAAAAAGGGATTCATAATATAAAATTAATATTTGATTCAGTTGAACAACAACAAGTAATCAAGTAACAGGATCTTCATTTTTGTAAGATCAATACGAGATGAAACGAGGGTATATGTGTTCCCCAAAAGTTCTTAACGCAGTAAACCTCCCTTTCCTAATATTTGACATGCAAATTTTGTACGTTAGTTATCTCTTAAGTTATTTGTCATCCAAGAAGGAAATTTCACAACATAACTTGGTCGATCTACGGGTGTATGCTTAAGTATCCCTTACCCTTAACCCTTGATTAGCCCTCACATCTTTATGGTTTTCTATTAGATAGTGGATTATCAATACGAAATCTCTGTTGTTTAATCTATTTTCCCATTGATTACTTCCTTATTCGGAAAAGTAGGAATAAGGAAAGTTCTAACATTGTGCACCATTTGAAACTAAGAGAACAACAATACATGCATTAACGCTAATCCATTATTACCTAATTATTAGTTCTAGTTTGTTAATTACTCATGGTTCCCACAACCCTAGTTGTGAATTTATCTACTCATGCTTGGTTTATGAGAATTCATAATATGATTAATAGAATAAATCATGAACTTACAATTAGGGTAGATAAAATCCAAGAACCTTGAATTTATGAACAAAAAGCAATATTCTAAACCAACACTTCAAGAATTAAATGCATGAAATGTTAGCAAGTTAATTCTCAAAGTAAAAAGTAGAAGTATCAAAATTTCTAACTCTCAAAAATGAAAAATACAACTAATATTTATAGAAAATGAAATCCTAAATAGAGTAGGAAAAAGAAATGGAGGAAAATTCAGCTTTGCAGTCGTCTCTATAGTTTGTACCTACCACTCGTAGGAACTCATATGGTTCGTAGGTACCTTCCATCAATCAGACACTTGTCCTTCCCTTAAGAGAAATATCTATGGGTATGATCTACGACCCGTAGATCTTTGTACGACACATCTTGGATAATTTTCATTAAAGTACTGGCGCTCAACATTTAGGAATCTTTAAACGACACAATTGTATGGCTCATAGAAGTTACTACGGCTCATCATTATTTTCTGCCATTTTATACTTAGGCTCAAGATATGAACACCTCAAATTATGACTCCTACCTACGGCTCCTAGGTCGAGTCAACAATGAAAAAAAAACGTGCTACTACAACTTTTCAGTACGAACTGCTCCAAAACATAATTTCCTACAAAATCCACACAAAATACTATCATATCTACTAATAAATAATTAAGACATATGCGAAACCCTAAGTTTAAAGTATTAAAAGTACTGTAAATTCATGGTACATCAATCCTAAGTTAGCCTAAACTAGCCTAAAAATCAAAACTAAGAATCGAAGAAATTCAAAAAATAACTAAACTAAACATCTTGGGTTGCCTCTATAGCAGCACTCGATTTAACGTTGCGGCATGATGAAGGTTCCTTGATTTCTTAGATTTTATCAAGAGCCCATTCTTCAATTACTTTTACTTCTTCCAACATCCCAGTGTAGTGCTTAATCCTTTCCCCATTCACCTTGAACCTCATTCCCTCATCATTTTGAGTTCAACCACTCCATGTGAAAACACTTCCACTACTCAAAATGGTCCAATCAACTTTGACTTGAATTTTCCAGGAAACAAGTGCAACCTTAAATTGAAGAGAAGGAAAAAATCACTGAGGAAATTTTCCCTTTTCAAACTTTTGATCATGGTGCTTCTTCATTCATTCTCTTTATAAGGCTAAACTTTCATACACTTTAAGGAGAAACTCATTAAGTTCATTTAGCTCATTTAACCTCTTATCTGACGCAACATCCCAATCTAGATTCAAATTTTTGAATGCTCACATGGCTTTCTGTTCTAGCTCTACAGGAAAGTGACAGGACATTACAAACATAAGTTGGTTAGGAGGCATACATATGGGAGTCTTTAACGTAGTCTGATATGCCCATAAAGCATCATGAAGCTTTCTGGACAAATTTGTTCTTCTCGCACTCACATTCTTTCCAAGGATTTGTTTGATATATCTATTCAAAACTTCCCCTTCCCCATTATACTGCGGATGGTAAGGAGTTTCTACATTATGTTGAAAGCCATACTTCTCAAGAAACACCTTGAACAACTTATTACAAAATTGAGAACCTCCATCACTTATAATCGTCCTTGGTGTACCAAATGCGGAGGATATATTTCTATTTAGGAATGCAGTGACACTCTTTCCTTCATTATTTGAAAGCACAACAACTTCAGCCTATTTAGACTGATAGTCCACTGCAACAAGTGTGTACTTCATCCCATTCGAACTCACAAACAAACCTATAAATTCTAGACCCCATACATCGAACAGTTTAATCACCAAAATTAGAATATGTGGGAGTTATTTCTTCCTTTAAATATCTCCTTCTCTTTAACAATGATCCCAAGACTTTACAAAATCATGAACATATTGGTGAATGGTAGGCCAATATTACGCACACAGTAATATTATATTGGCAGTCCGGATACTACTATAAGGACCACCTACAGGAAAACATATGGCAAGCTTTCAAAATAATCATCATATCAACCTTGGGTATGCAGCGACAAATATTCCCATCAGCGTAGACATGAAACATGCATGTATCTTTCCAGAAAAACTTCTTCGTGTCTGATATGAATTTTCTTGTTTGGTAAAACAAAAATTCGAAGGTTTCACATCACTCTCTAAGTAATTAGCAAAATATGTGAACCGTGGGATAAGATCATATGAGGAAGCTAAAACTTAGTCGTCCAGAAACGTATCATCTATCTCAACTCCATATGCCAACTAGAACATTGCCTTTTCTTTTTATTTGGACAAGTGATCAGCAACTTGATATTTAGTCCCTTTTCTATCTTTCACTTTGAATTTGAACTCATGCAACAATAGCACTCATCAAATGAGTATTGGTTTAAAATACTTCTTTTCCATAAGATACCTCAAATATGCATGATCAGCGTGCACATTGAATTCAATTCCAAGCAAATAGGATCAAAACTTCTCGAATTAAAAGACTATAGCAGGTTGTTTTTGTTTGTGACGGTGTAGTTATTTCGAGTAATATTAAGGGCTTTGGTCGCATAGCATATGAGATGAAAATTCTTCTCACGCCTTTATCCTAACACTACGCGAAGCACCACCCACTGACATCACACATAAATTTAAACCAATGTC